CAAATTCAGCGATTCGACACCTACGAGGATAAGCCACAAGGTCACACGCCAACTCGACTTTCGGGTTATTTCTGGTGTTAACATCCTAGAAGTTGACCCCCAAGTCCGGGTCTCACTATACGCCCCTTTGTCGGCAGAGTGTTCACCACGCTTCGCCACAACTGGTGCGCGCCTTTTCGGTGTTTGTAATGGAACCGAATGCGGGTTGAGCGACGTGGGCTCAATCCAACTACAAATCAACGAGCTATCTACGACCAATGCCCGCTCCTGACTACGACGGTAAGGAATCCTGCTACTATGATATCATCTGAAGCCGCCAAGTTCAAGCCACACAACGGCAACATCACTGGAGCAATTGATGTGGAATTTTGCAGTTCGAGGTGCTACATGTCGAAGAATATGACTTTGCCGCCGGACTGGGCTAGGTGTGCCGGCGGTTCATATTGTTTAAAAACACCTTAGCGGGATTGCATGTTGTGGCGAGAACAACAAAACCCGTATGTTAATTATATTCAGGATGTTACGTCCCACATCTCCGAAGCATTTGCTGGCCAGCACACGTTTCTCCTCATTCATCGTGACAGGAGATTTGTGGAAGATATGCGCGGGTACAGTCTGGAATACCTTAAGCTGTGACCTACTGGTTTAATTTCTTGCTAGAAGATTTTCGAATGGCTGCTGAAGCTGGGCTCAGGACTGGCTGGCAAGGCAGACGGTACACCTTGTCTCCTCATGTGTATCATTTAATTTTGTTAAGAACCCGTCTGCAGAGTGTAAAACCCTGACTACAACGGAACTGCTCGTTCAGTCTGGCGGCCAAGTAATGGAGTTTGCAGACACGTCGTAGAGACACGACATGGTTACGGGGAAGGACACCACCACGAGTTACCGAAGCCTTACTACGTTACGGACGCTTTCGGTGCGTATGAAGCACAGGTCAGCTAATGTAACAGGTTTTAGAATACGATTTAGAATAGGATATATTACTTTACAAGCTCTAGTATAAACGCAGAGTAGGTCAGTCTATGGGAGCTCCGTTTTCAATTGCCCGAACTGCGCGGGGCAGCAACCTCATACTTTTCGTTTTGGCCGCCCCTGCAAAGAGAATCATCCACTCACCTGCATCGCAACTGATAAACTGGTAGCACTTGTTGGTCCCAGCCCTGTTCAAGAAAAGACGATGCCTCCTACGAATGCACAGCTACGTGCCGAGATTGCCCGACCCAACCAGTTGGTCGCCGATTGACCACGTGTTCCAAACAACCTGCCTAAGTTCAAGGCAAGAGGGGAGAAGACGTGAGGGAATGGCTATTCCAGATTCAGAACGCGTGCTGTATCAACGAAATCCAAATCGAAGACGAAAGCTCGAGACTTCCACAATCTTTACGTTAAGCTGGCCACGTGTGTGTTCTGTGCCTCGGAGATTCCATTCTGGGAGCCTTCGTGAGACGCAATGGTGTACGAATGGATCCTGACAAAGTGCAGACGATTCGAGACTGGCCGGTTCCGAAAACTCAAGAAGAGCTACATAGTTTTCTTGGCTTCACTGGCTATGTTCAGTGCTTTTGTCCTGAATATGCTGCTCTTACTGCATCCATGTTCAGTCTGCTCAAGAAGCAGAAGAAATGGAATGCCAAGATCCACTTCAGCGACGAACAGCTCAAGAACTTCAAGGAGGTCAAGCGACGAATATATGCAATCCACCCGTACTGCATCTTGCGGATTTCAATCAACCGGTGCATCTACCGACGGATGGCAGTAATTTTGCCGTTGGTGGGGTGATGTTTCAAATTATTGACGAAGTTGAGCGTCCAACTGTTTACATCGAGAACTGAAAGCAGCGGAGATTAACTACCCGACACAACAGCAAGAGCTACTAGCGATTGCTTTTCAGATCTACTGTTTCGACAAGTCACCAATTTTGGAGACTGACCACAAAAGCCTTGAAGATCTGTTCACGCAAAAGATGGGTAACCGCCGGCTCGCGCGATGGTATGATATCCTAGCTGAGTATTCGCCTATGTTTTCTTATCTTTCTGGAGCGAAGAATGGGATTGCAAACGCGCTGAGCAGAAGACCCGACTTACAGCCAGAAACGAAGTACTCCCATGCCTTAAGTGTCACTGGTTTTAACGACACTTCGTTCAGCTTGTCCATCACCGAAGTATCCTCAGATGCCGAGCTTGTCACCTAGATCAAGGCAGAGTATGTGAAAGATTGCGATATCCAAGGGATACTTGCAGCCATAAAGCGACGTACCGAAACGGTGAAGCAAAAAGACAAGCGCGAGCACCAGAAGAAGTACAGGCTGTACACAGAAAACAGTGGTTTGCTCTGGTACCAGACCAGTAGACGACTTACCCCGGGTTATAGTTCCAATCAATGTGAAGCTTCGGAGCGAAATCATCAACATCCAATTATGGTGGACACCCAGGCGCGGAGCGAACGTACCTGACCCTCGCTAGACGGTGGTATTGGTCGAAGATGTTAGCGTCGATACAGGAGTTCAATGCGGATTGCGAACAATGCAGACGCAATAAGCCTCGGCTAACAAAACTAGGTCTTCTCGAACCTTTGAGCATTCTCGATGAGCGATGGAGATCCATCTATATGGACTTCATCACTGATCTGCCTGGGACAAAGAACAAGGTCAACT